TGTGGCTCACACCTATAATCCCAGCATTTTGGGAGACCAGAGCAGGAGGATTACTTGAGCCCAGGAGTTCAAGACCAGCCTGGGCAACATAGCGAGATCCCATCTCTAAAAATAAAAATAAAATAGATAGGAAGGATCTGGCTTTGTTGCCCAGGCTAGAGTGCAGTGACAAGATCACAGCTCACTGCAGCCCCGAGCCTCCCTAGTAGCTGGGACTATAGCTATGCGCTACCACGTCTGGCTATTTTTTAAAAAATTTTTGTAGAGACAGAGTCTTGCTATGTTGCTTCAAGCGATCCTCCTCCTCAGCCACCCCCCAAAAAACTGGGATCACAAGCGTGAGCCACCACACCTGGCCTAGGTGATTTCTAAGACTTGTCAAGACAAGAAACATGACCTAACTCCATTTCATGAAGACAACAGCAACATTAAATTGCCACATGAAGAGAAATTTCTAGTAATGGCAAATAGTGTTCTTGTCTCTCCCTTCCTTTACCCTTTTCTTCACTGACTTCCCCTTCCACAGGGGCTTAAATTTTGTCCTATTTGTCTTTATTCTATGGCACCTAACTCAGTGCCAGGTTTATAATATGTGAGATATGTTTGTGTGCAATTAGCTCGGCCATGTGGGCCAGCCATAGTGGAATGTTCATTCCTCCTCTTTGATGAAGTACTTTACAATAAAAGTGAGTCTAGATGTATAATCTAGAGAGAACCATGCAATAAACAAGCATCTTAAAAATAAATGATCTCTTCTTTTTTATTTGAATAGTGACAAATGTACATGATACGAAATTCAGAAGTGAATAAGAAGTCTATTCCCTACAACACTAACCAGTTCCTTGTGTTTGCTTCCAAAGATTAGAGACATTCTCTGCATATATATTATTATATATAGTATATATGAAATATTGTATAAAATACATATATATATATCAACATAAGTGGTATTATATCAGATTCATTTCTAGTATGGCTTTTGTCATTGTAGGGCAAAATTTGAACACTAGGTCTTTAAAAGCACAAAAATCACAGCTACCGCTTTTTTAAAAATTTTTTTAATTTGGAGTCTCACTCTGTTTCCCAGGCTGGAGTACAGTGACATGCTCAAGGCTCACTGCAGCCTCAACTTCCAGGGCTCAGGTGATCCTTCTGCATCAGACTCCCGAGTAGCCGGGACTACAAGTCATGCCACCATATCCGGCTAATTTTTTTGATTTTTTTGAGCCAGAGTCTCACTCTGTCACCCAGGCTGGGGTGCAGTGGCATGGTTATGGCCACCACAGCCTCAACCTGCTGGGCTCAGGTGATTCTTCTGCCTCAGCTTTGCAAGTAGCTGGAATCACAGGTGCACACCACCCTGTGGTTTATTTATTTATTTATTGTAGAGACGAAGTCTCGCCAAGTTGCCCAGGCTGGTCTCGAACCCATGGCTCAGGCAATCCTCCTACTTCTGCCTCCCAACGTGCTGGGATTACAGATATGAGCCACTGCGCCCAGCTTTTTTTATTTTTATTTTTTTGTCGAGATGAAGTCTGACTATGTTGCATAGGCTGGTCTCAAACTCCTGGGCTCAAGCAGTCCTCTTGCCTCAGCCTCCCAAAGTGCTAGGATTACAGGCATGAGTCACCATGTCTGACCAGCTGCCTCATTTTTAACAGTACACAATACTTTACATGGAGATTATAATTAAATAGTCCTCTACTGATAAGCATTAAGATCAGCTTGAATTTCATACATTCATTTGTCTAAAGTGCAAAATACTTATATATTCAGTCTAACTTTTGTTTTGCATTTTATTTTATTTTAGAATTATGGGGTACAAGTGAGGATTTACTACATAAGTAGGTTGCATGCGGGTGAAGTTTGGGTTTCTATATATTCTGTTCAGCAGAGTTGTAAAGCAAATGCCTGTATAAGCACCATCCAGGGCAAGAAATAGAACTCATGGGCACAGCAGAAGGTCCCCTGCAGGGGCTTCCCAGTCCCTCCCATTCCTACCTCAAGCATCTATTTCCCTGGATCCCAAGGGTGATCACTAGACTGGCTCTTTATTTACTTATTTTTATTTTTTATTTTTTGAGTTGGAGTCTCACTCTGCTGCCCAGGCTGGAATGCAATGGCATGCTTACCTTCACCACAGCCACAATCTGCTGGGCTCAGGTGATCCTTCCGTCTCAGTCTTCCGAGTAGCTGGAACCACAGGCACATACCACCACACTTGGCTAATTTTTTAAATTTAGTTTAGAGATGAGATCTTGCCATCTGGTCTTCAACTCCTGAGCTCCTGAGGTCAGGCAGTCCTCTCGCCTCTGCCTCCCAAAGTGCTGGGATTACAGGTGTGAGTCACCGCACCTGGCCTGAACTGGCTCTTTTATTTTTATTTTTTTACTGCCTTTGTATGTGTGCCTAAACTATAGTTTGGTATTCCCTTACATAACATAACAGATAGAATCACAGTATGCATTAAAGAAAGATTGAAGTACTGTTTAACATACATACAGAAGAATGTGCTGGTCATAGTGCACAAACAATGTATAGTCCATAAATTGTCATAAGGACATGCCAGAATAGTCCCCACTGAGTTAGTGCACATTCTCTTATCTGGTCTTTTCTGCTCAACATTGCTTCCATAAGAGTCATCATATTGTTGTGTGTCGCCTTAATTTGTTATTTTCATTGCTGCAATACATTTCTTTATTCTCACCCAAAATACACTGAAAGAGCTAAAGAAACTGCAATTGTCTAGAGAGAAATTTCTGTTGATCTAAGGCTTATGGGGCATTGCAAACATTTTATCTCCACTAGATTAGGCACCCTGTTATCCCAAACTTTTTCTCACTTTAAAGAACGATACTCTTGATATTTATCAAAGCAGGCACATGTATGTAGCTTAAAGATCAGATGGTACCACAAAGCTTATTATGAACAACAGCTGTCTCTGCTCCCAAGTTCTGTCCCCCATGCCCCAAAAAGTTTCTGCTTTTTAACTCTTGAGCTGTTTCCTTGTACTTGCCTTTATGTTACTGGAGAACATGATTTTACACTTGTTTTTCAGTTTTATACATCCATTGTGTTCTGGTCATAAATTAGGATTTAGGACATACCACCACTCCCGTCCTCAATTCTCTCAGTAATTTTTCTTTTTCTTTCCTTTTCTCTCTCTCATTTTTTTGTTTGTTTCATTTTGCTTTGTTTCTGTTTGCTTGTTTGTTTTTTTAGTCAGGAATCTCTCTCTGTTTCCCAGGCTGGGGTGTAGTGACACAATCACAGCTCACTGCAGCCTCAAATTCCTAGGCTCAAGTGATCCTCCCCGCTCAGCCTCCTGAGTAACTGGGCATGGGCACAAGCCACCATTCCTGGCTAATTCTATTTTTAAAAATTTTTAGTAGAGACGAGGTCTTGCTATGTTGCCTAGGCTGGTCTTGAACTCCTGGGCTCAAAAGAGCATTCTGTCTTGGCATCCCAAAGTGCTGGAATTACAAGTGTGAGGCATCACACCCAGCCCATTCTCTCAGTAAATTATAAAGATCACCTGTGTCGAAGTACGGTTGACATACAATACAATTTACTCATTTTTAAGTGTGTAGAGTTTTGACCATTGTACAAGTGTCTACAATGAAGTCCCACCAAAGTCAAGATATAGAACATGGTCATTCCCCTAAAAGCACTTGTTGTCCTTGCATTTTGGAGGCTAAGATTTAAAGGCACCAGCCGGGTTTGGTGGCTCAGGCTGTAATCCCACACTTTGGGAGGCTGAGGCGAGTGGATTGCCTGAGCTCGCGGGTTCAAGACCCGCCTGGGCAACTTGGCGAGACCATATCTCTACAATAAATCAAAAAATTAGCCAGGTGTGGTAGCGCGCGCCTGTAGTTCCAGCTACTTGGAAGGCTGAGGCGGAAGGATCGCCGGAGCCCAGCAGGTCGAGGCTGCGGTGGCCGGGAGCAGTCACTGCACTCCAGTCTGGGCGACAGGAAAAAAAGATTTAAAGGTACCTTAAAGTTTGACTTTTGATCTTGATGCTGGAAACTTCAGAGTCATAGACAGAGAAAGATGATCCTTGCCTGCACTGTGGCTGTGTAGTAAGCTACTTACAGAGACACCATAACTGAGTTTCAACTTTTAAAATTAACCACAGACGAAATACAGAAGACCCCATAAAAGTGACAGAAGGGAACATAGCTGTGGTAAAGGATTAGTTGACAGAGGTAAAAGAAAAAAAAGTGGAAGAGGATGTGGGTAGGATCAACACATCTTTGGGAGGGAATTAAGAGATGGTAACTAATGTTGATGGACTAATAAAGAAGCAGTGGCTTAATATGTTATTTCAAGTAGCAA